AGACCCAGCTGGATACATCTCAGTCACTGCAAGCTGCAGAGAGTGTTGGACCCCTAATCCTGAGTGGCGGGGAAGTTCTGGCTACAAAGGGGTTCCTGACCAATAGGGCGGTTCGTCTCAACGCCAGTGAAGAAACCAACACATCCTCACTCCTTAGTTTGGGGTTCTGACATCTTTGTATGCTGAGCAGCAATGGGGACTCCATATGCCAGGTGGAGCCTCTACTGCGCCGTGACTGCAGCATGAATGATGTTTGGAGGAGGAAGTGACCTCACCTTCACCTTCATCAGGACAAAGAAGGAAGCAAACGTGTTCCCCCTTCAGAGACACCCACACGACTACGACACCAATCTATGGTGGCAACTGAAGAACAGGACCGCCTATGAGGGAATGAAGTCAACAGTGTGTGCACATAGCACAGCTGCCCTACGCCACACACAACTCAGGTCTTTGACCAGGGAGCATCACTGATGAGAAGCAGATGTGTCTCTATGGCCTGAGTCCACACCCACAGCACAGCTTTCCAGCAGGGAGGAACAACAAGTGGAGAAAAAGGGATTATTCTGTTCCACTCCGATGGGAACGGTCAAACAAGGACCTTTGGATGCTATGAACTGTTCACCTGCGACTTATGTGCTTCCTTTTCCACAGACATTGTGAAATTACCAGAGATCATTTCCTTGGCAGGAGCCAAACCAGGATCCCTCAGAAAATGTGTGTACAACAATGGACCTGGTGGAACTATTTCTGACGCTCTACACGAACTGGAGGAACTTAAACATCATGTGGACAGTGGAACACAAGGATCACATCCTTTTTCTTTCATGGATCATTTCAGGATCCTGGAGGAACCTGCTGTTGAGAAATGGAGCATCTATTCTGGGTGTTCTGATCCTTTTTTGCCTTTTCACAACTTGCATCATTCCATGCCTTCTTAGCATGATGCTAAAGACATTTAACACTGCTGTGGTCAGCTATCAGCTGGTCAGACCAACCTCTGACACACAAGGACGACTTGGTCCATATGGACGAAGACGCACTGAACAGTGGATAATATGACGATGTTCTGTAATCAATAAACAGATTAAATCATCTGCTGATTGATTCCTACACTGAAAATGTGAAAACAAGTGGAGTTACTGATAAAATAACAGGATTCTTTTCCTGCTGTGTCCTTTACATGTTATATTTCTTGTATGGTGTGTTTGTATGTCTTAGACCTATCAGACATTGTTACCCTCCAGCTCAGCTTTGGTTGAAACTCAGCAGAATGAATCTGCTGAAATCTCTGATCCAAACCCAAACAGACTCACCTGGAGTAACTGTCAGGTTGATGATGATGTTAGGCTCTGCTACCAAGTTTCTTTTTGCTCCAGTCAGAAAGACTCGACACTCGTATGTCCCGCTATCATCAGTCGTCAAGTGCCTCAGAACCAAAGACGCGTCTCCGTTCTTCATCTGTCTGTCCAACAGATCCACCCGGCCCTTAAAAGATGGATGCTGGTTTTCTGAGTAAAACTGTGAATCTCTGAATAGCAGAACACAGTAAGAACCCAGTTCAGCCTTTGTCCACTCTACAGCCAGGACAGGTGAGCGGTCAGAGACCCGACAAGGCAGAATGATGCTCTGTCCTGATTCTGCTGTGATGCTGTGTTGATCTGAAGGAGAGGAAACAAGAAATTAAAGACTCTGGTTTCTGGGTTTCACCAAAAGAAGCACTGATGAATATAAATAAGTTACAGAATATTTAAATGATCTGGTTCAGCTCAGCTGTTCTAGACCATAAAGCAGTGAGACTCTGATGTAGATGATGGATTTGAATAGAAATACAAACATAGTTTCTCTGGAAAACAAGCATTTTGACCAACATCCTGATTAGAGCAGCAGCAAAGAAACTGAGGAGGATAAGCAGCTTCAGTTCAAGTCAAATCATTTTAACTCATTAAACTCATCTCTCTGGTAAAGTTGGTCTCTACCAGGCTGGTTGTTGTTATTCCAACCAGAACCGCCTTGTTTGGTAATCCCCGTGTGGTGAACGATGCCTTCCTGTTCCTGCTGCAGCACGCGCTCTCTCTACATGAATGAACCTGGAGGATGATAACCTGCTCCAACATGTCCAGAGCCACCAGCTGCCTTCGCTGGAGGGAGAATCTGCTCAGTGCGGCTGGAAACATCCGCTCCAACCGATACCATGACTGTCTGGTTTCATCAGCAAATATGATCGGAGCTTCAGGGACGATTAACATGAAGGTTTTTAACGGTTAAGAAACTTAAACTCAGAAACATGTAAGAAATAAATTCTGCAGTCAAACAAATAAATGACCTTCAGCTTCAGCAGCAAAGAAACGTTCAGAGAAAACAGCAGAAACTGATTAAAACTGGAACAAAGGATAGTTTATATCGGCTCTGGACAGAATCAACCAGCATTTGATTAAAATACTTCTGGAAACTGAAATTAATGAAATCAACACAAAACACCAACTCTCCTCTGGTGGAGTCTGTTTTAATCCAGCAGAACAAACCAGCAGGTTTAATAAGAGGCTCCTTAAACTTTACTGACTAAAACATTTCTCCATCAGAGAAGCTGAGCGTCAGTTTGACATTTACATGATTAGTTTGAACTTACTAGAATCTGTCGACACAGAAGAAACGTTTAACAGCAGAAGCCAAAGCAGCAGCAGCTGAGATGAAGACGCCATGAGGAGCGAAGCAGGAAACAGTCTGACCTGCAGAGCGAGTCTAAACTAGAATGTCTCAACTAGAATGTCTCAGATAGAATGTCTGAACTAGAATGTCTCAACTAGAATGTCTCAGTTAGAACCTCCCAACTAGAATGTCTCAGTTAGAACCTCCCAGCTAGAATGTCTGAACTAGAATGTCTCAGCTAGAATGTCTCAGTTAGAATGTCTCAACTAGAATGTCTCAGTTAGAATGTCTCAACTAGAATGTCTCAACTAGAATGTCTCAGCTAGAATGTCTCAGTTAGAATGTCTCAACTAGAATGTCTCAGTTAGAATGTCTCAGTTAGAA